CAGCATGGCGGATGCCATGCAGGAGTTGGAGCACAAACTACAAGCCCATGAAGAAAAGCTAACTGATCTGGAAGATCGTTCCAGGAGGAATAATGTGCGAAGAAGAGGCATTTCAGAAGATATAGATGGCAAACAATTGCTTCAATATACAACAACCTTCTTTGCCAAGCTTATACCGGAAGTGGACCCAGACCTTTTGGTCACAGACCGCATACAGAGAGTCGGGAGGCTGAAACACATACTGATCTCATCGCCACGTGACGTGTTGATGAGGATCCATTATTTTCACGTCAAGGATCAAATTATGAAAGCCAGCCGCAAAAACCGACCCCCGGCAGAATATAAAGCGCTGCAAATCTACGCAGACCTCTCTCCAGCTACTCTACTTCAACGCCGGAACCTGGCGCCCATCACGACCTCTCTACGGGCTCAAAACGTGCCGTACCGTTGGGGATTTCCCACCAAGATCCAGGTGCTAAAAACTGGGACTATCCACATGATCAGGACAGTGGAAGATGGACGCAAGCTACTGAGAGACTGGGACATCCCTATCCAGGACCCGAAGCACCTACCTGCGACTGGCCCCAGGTGGCTAAACCCAGAGTGGCAAAAAGCACCATGAACTGCACCGAAAGTACCAGGTCTTTGTGCATCCTATAACAGAGAGGGCACAATGTTATCAGATGGGTAATGTAAATGTAAACTTTTTTATAAAAAAGGCGACTTACCTAAAACAGAAACGGGAATCTCAAATGACAGAATGGCTCCAAAAACTAGAAATATTGACGAGACAAAATAAACGCGAAGCATCCGGCGATCTGGCATCACAGATTAAGACACTAAAATCCCAGATTGATGAAGCCAACTTGCTGAAAACCAACTATCATATACAGAAACTACAAGCCAGGTTCTACCACCAGGGAAACAGGACAGGCAAAGTACTGGCCAATTTACTCAAACATAGACAAGCAAAACATCGCATTTCATCCATAAAAATAAATAACACAAAAATGGTACACAAGCCCCAGGACATTAGCGAAGCATTTGCAACATTTTATAAAGCTCTCTATAACATAGAGACAGACCAAGCCAAAATACGACCACCGGGGGATCAGATCCAGAACTTCCTAGACAGGGTGTCCCTCCCCAGATTGAACGCCGACCAAAAAGCATCTTTAAATGCACATATATCGACTGACGAAATCCTCAAAATTATGGGGTTGCCCCCACACAAAGCACCGGGACCAGATGGTCTAACATGCAAATATTACAAGGTTTTTGGAGACCTTTTAGAACCATACATGACAAAGCTATTTAACTCCACTAACCAAGGAAAAGGCCTACCGACAGACATGTTACTAGCCAATATCATTACATTACCCAAGCTCGGGAAGCAACCCAACGAATGCAAAAATTTTAGACCCATATCGCTGCTTAACGTGGACGCAAAGATCTATGCCAAATTGCTAGCTAATAGATTATCCTCAGTCATACCAACTCTAATAAAGGGAGACCAAGTGGGGTTTGTAGCTGGGCGCCAAGGGGCAGATAACTCACGGAAGGTGGTGGACCTGTTGAGCCATATGAGACGAGTTGGGACCGAGGGCCTACTGCTAGACGCGGAAAAATCGTTTGACCGGCTGGGCTGGGGGTTCTTGGTCTCGGAATAAATCTTACTGGGACAACTACCCAATATCTAAAATCGCAGTGTAGATTTGAATGGTCAGACTCACACATAAAATTCTTAGGCTTGTGGCTATCACGTAATCCCCAAAACCTTTTTGGTGACAATTATGTTAGGGTCTGGAAGGAAATAGAACAAACTATGAGGGAATGGAAAGACAAATACATATCGTGGGTGGGTAGGGCGGCTGCCTTCAAGATGATGTTGCTACCTAAGCTACAATATATCTTTCACTTGCTGCCGATAGCAGTGCCAGCATCTTTCTTTAAAAAAGCACAGAAAGAGCTAGCAAGATTTGTGTGGGCAGGCAAAAAACCCAGAGTGGCCATGAAACAACTACACAGAATCTGTGCTGAGGGAGGCATGGGAGTCCCTGACTTCCTCTTATACCACAGAGCGGCAGTGCTGGCACCACTGACACAGGCAAACATGACCCAAAACCGCCCACAG